GTGGAGATCTGCTCCATGGGCTGCAGGGGGACAGCCTGCTCCACCGGGGCCTCTCCCTGCACAGCCCGCAGGGGAACTGCTGCTGCCTCCTGCCCTCCTGCTGCACTCACCTGGGGGGCTGCAGGGCTGCTTCTCCTCTCTTTCTCCCTGGGAAACAGCTTTTTGCTGTTACTTTTGTCCTCCTTTCTTCAATATGCTCTCCCAGAGGAACAAGCGACATCGTTTCTTGGCTTGGCTCTGGCCAGCAGTGGAGCCGTTCTCTAACGGGGGGCAGCTTCTAGATTCTTCTCACGGAAGCCACCCCTATGGCCCCCTGCTACCAAAACCTTGCCACGTAAATCCACCAGAGCAACTCTTTCGGTGAAGAAATTTTTCGTCAAAACCAACCGAAACCTCCCTGGTACAACTTGAGGTTTTTTGTTCTTGTCTTGTCACTTGGGGCTTGGGAGAAGAGAACGATCCCCACCTCTCTGGAGCCTCCTTTCAGCTTCCTGTAGAGCACAGGAAGGTCTCCCCTGAGCCTCCTTTTCTCCAGGCTGAACAACCCAGCTCCCTCAGCCGCTCCTCACCAGACTTGTTCTCTAAACCTTCACAAGCTTCAGAGCCCTTCTCCGGACACGCTCCAGCACCTCGAGGTCTTCGCTGAACACAGTGCTCGAGGTGCGGCCTCACCAGAGCCGAGCACAGAGGGACAACCGCTTCCCTAGTCCTGATGGCTACTCTAGTTCTGATACAAGCCAGCTGTAGAGATATTTACATGCATAGATATGCAGCACTAGTACATGTTCCTTTGAAAACCGGTCCAACAGCATCAGGGATGCTGTTCGTGTTTGTAGGAAGAAAATTCGTGTGGCTAAAGCACACCTAGAGTTGAAGCTGGCTGTGTCTGTGAGAGAAAATAAAAAGGTTTTTTTTAGATATGTGAATGGAAAAAGGAGAACTAAAGAATACATAGGGCCGCTCCTTGATAGGGAAGGTCTTCTCACAGACGATGACATAGGCAAAGCAGAGACGCTTAACGCCTTCTTTGCCTCTGTCTTCAATGCCGATGATGGGCTTCGGGACCCAGGGTGCCCTGAGCTGGAGGACCGGGACAGTGGGGATGACAAACTCCCAACTGACCCTGAACGTGTGTGGGATTTGCTACTCCACCTGGACCCCTACAAGTCCATGGGTCCGGATGGGATTCATCCCGGGTGCTGAAAGAGCTGGCGGACGTCATCGCGGAACCTCTCTACCTCTCTCAATTATTTTTCAACGATCCTGGGAGTCTGGAGAGGTCCCGGTAGACTGGAAGCTGGCAAATGTTGTGCCGATTTTCAAGAAGGGTCAGAAAGAAGACCCTAGCAATTACAGGCCTGTCAGTCTCACGTCAGTGCCTGGTAAAATCATGGAGAAGATGGTTCTCGAACTTATTGAGGCGCACCTGGGGGACAAAGCAGTCATTGGTCCCAGCCAGCATGGGTTTGTGAAGGGTAGGTCCTGCCTAACTAACCTGATTTCCTTTTATGATAAGATCACCTGTATGGTGGACCAAGGGAAACCAGCTGATGTGATTTTTTTTTGGACTTCAGCAAGGCTTTTGACACGGTTTCCCATAGGATCCTACTGGACAAAATGTCCACCATACAGCTAAATAAAAACATCATACGATGGGTGAGCAATTGGCTAACGGGCAGGGCCCAAAGGGTTATGGTGAATGGGGCTGCATCAGGCTGGCGGGCAGTCACCAGTGGGGTCCCTCAAGGCTCCATTTTAGGGCCGGTACTTTTCAATATTTTTATAAACGATCTGGATGTAGGAATAGAAGGTATTTTGAGCAAGTTTGCTGATGACACCAAACTTGGAGGAGTTGTGGACTCGAATGAGGGTGGAAAGGCCTTGCAGAGGGATCTGGATAGGTTGGAGAGCTGGGCGATCACCAACCGCATGAAGTTCAATAAGAGCAAGTGCCGGTCCTGCACCTGGGACAGGGAAACCCTGGCTGCACGTACAGACTGGGCGATGAGACGCTGGAGAGCAGCCTAGAAGAGAGGGATCTGGGGGTCATGGTAGACAGCAAGTTGAATATGAGCCAGCAGTGTGCCCTGGCAGCCAGGAGGGCCAACCGTGTCCTGGGGTGCATCAAGCACGGCATCGCTAGTAGGTCAAGGGAGGTGATTGTCCCGCTCTACTCTCTGCGCTGGTGAGGCCTCACCTCGAGTACTGTGTGCAGTTCTGGGCACCACAGTATAAAAAGGACATGAAACTTTTGGAGAGTGTCCAGAGGAGGGCTACAAAGATGGTGAAAGGCCTGGAGGGGAAGACGTACGAGGAACGGCTGAGGGCACTGGGCCTGTTCAGCCTGGAGAAGAGGAGGCTGAGGGGAGACCTCATCGCAGTCTACAACTTCCTCGTAAGGGGGTGTCGAGAGGCAGGAGACCTTTTCTCCATTAACACCAGCGACAGGACCCGCGGGAACGGGGTTAAGCTGAGGCAGGGGAAGTTTAGGCTTGACATCAGGAGGGGGTTCTTCACAGAGAGGGTGATTGCACACTGGAACAGGCTCCCCAGGGAAGTGGTCACTGCACTGAGCCTGACTGAATTTAAGAGATTGGACTGTGCATTTAGTCACATGGTCTGAACTTTTGGGTAGACCTGTGCGGTGTCAAGAGTTGGACTTGATGGTCCTTAAGGGTCCCTTCCAACTCAGGATATTCTATGATTCTATGATTCTATGAACTCTCTTCAAACCCTCTACCTGGTTTCCTCTAACTGGCACTGACGCTTCAGCTGGATCCTCTAAATCCCATCTTACTGCTTCTGCTTCCTAAGCAGGTGACGGAAACTCCTAAGCGGAGAGCAGAGGAGTTGTAATTCTGTATCCAGGAAATATTTGGAAGTTTGGAAGATGCTTCCCTTGCTCAGCTGCCATCCCTAAGTTAATCAGTCCGCCGATCTTTTGCCTTCCAGCAAAAGTCTTGATGCAGTTCTTAAGGCAAGTTCTTTCTGAAAATCCTCAGCCACCTCTGTGCACGCCAAACCTTTCCTGGCACTGTGCATGCGCGGATGGCAGCGATAAATCAGGTTGTGGAATGAATGGCAACGGTGCACCGCTTGCCCTCCTGCTTGGTGCACCTCCTGCCCTCCTGCAGCGACCTTGGGGTCTGCAGGGCTGCTTCTCTGACATCTTCCTTCCCTCTCTCCAGCTGCTGAGCAGTGCATTTTAGCCTTTTCATCTACACAATTATGTGCTTTCACAAGTAATGCTCGGTCTAAACTTATTTTCTAGCTGGGAAATGCCTGTGCAAAACAATGAGAAATGAATCAGGGAATTTCCTGTGGAAATGTTCAAACAGTTTAGCAGGCAATCAGAGCAAACAATTTAGTACAAACACATGCTCTTTTGCTGTTTTGAACCTGCTGATCCAAGCATCAGGCTCTACAGCCAGTGTGCATGTCACAATCCTGCTGTGTCCCACCCCATGGCCTGAGGTGTCAGTGCAAGTGTCTCCAGCATGGCTTAGTCACTCTCCTCTCAAAGCTCTTGGTCCTTGCACCCCTTTCTTCTGCAGCAGCAGCAATGAAAGGAAAATGGGGTCCTGCTTTGAAAAGAAGCCCCTTCCAGCTGTGACCAGACCCTTCCCACCCTGTTCCTGTGGCAGTACCATCAGTGGGTGAGGGTGGCAGAGGCTTTTTTGGACAAACCCAGCCCTGCCAGAAGAGCCTTCAGGCACGATACAGTCATAGAGGAGGAAGAGGTGGCTTGGAGGCAGTGTTTTACTCCACGCCCTGTTCTTCCCCAGCCTGAGTGTCTCTGGTGCTGCCCAGTGGCCACATGCCACCAAAACCTATTCATTTCTGCACACTAGCCCTCTCGGGTGACAGAGAGGACAACCGACTGCTGCTACCATCAGCCACCAATTTCGGAATTTGTTGCATTAACCAGGACCATTGTAGTCAGTGTGAACAGAATTTGCTCTGTTGTTGAGCAAATCTGAGCTGAGACATCTCCTCGGGTAGCTCCTGGCAGCCCAGGCCTGTCCCATCACCCCAACCAAGAGCAGGGCAGCAGCAAACTGGACACAGTGCTCCAGACCAGGTCTCACAAGTCGTGCTTAGAAAGGCGAAGCAGTGCTTCCTTCCCTCCCCATGCTTTTTTAGCTGATACAGCCCTATACATGGTTAGTTTCAATAGCTGCAGAAGCACCCCACAGACTCTTGTTCGCCTCTCACCACTAGCAGGACTTCTGTGGAGTTACTTCCAGCCTGTGTGTTCATGCTTATTCCTCTGCATAGGTCCTTCCTTCTCTGATAAAAGCCCTTACTGCATTTGAAATACTACAAACGAGATGTGTTTGCTTAAACATGTTTTTATTGAGATTAAAGGAGTAAAGAGTACATACACAAGACCCATGACATGTGAATACAAGAAAAACAATTTGAATAGTAACATGCCATATTTGGTCATGATGATTGAGCCAAAAAAGTTGAAGGAGAAATGTGAATTTAAGATTTCTATAAGGCATCTTAGAAAAGTGAGGAAGAGCCCTGCAGCACCAGGAGCACAAAGGAAAAGCAATTGCCTTGTCAGCATAGGAATGGTTGGTGACAATCATAGTTTAATCTGAGAGCTTTGACTAATTCTGGAGGAGTCACCACAAAGCCTGGTCATGCTTAATTGGAAGGCTGAATTTTTCCCCCATAAGACTTCTGCTGGTAAATCAGGTTGTATTTTTCAGTGTGATGATTCCAATGATTCAGTACTACTACTGAAATATTAGTTTGCACCAGGAACATCTCTGTTCATGATTATGCTTTCTTGGGTGCAGTTTTCATTCCCTTAACCCTTCATCCATGATACATAAAGGAAAGGCAAAGGGTGCACTTCTCACATTGTAATTTCTCTCAGATTTATGGTGTTGTTGTTTGTTTGTTTTTATATGGCTGTGACAGAAAATATGCCTTTCGTTTTTACCCTTGGTACTACAGTGCTTTGGGTCTTGCTGTAAGGGCAGAAACTCTTTCAACTTCCTTTTCTTTAAGGGGACATCCATCTGCCAAAGAAGAGAATGCTGTTGGTTGGGTTGTGCTTGATGAAGAAGAGGAATGGGTGGTCAGCCCTAAATTCTTCGGAGACGCTTGTAACATCCATCCCAGCCTCTGCTGAGCCTACCACATCTCTGCCGGCTTCAAAGATTTCCACACATGCTGCATGGACAGCCTCAGACATCTTTAAGCTTACTGTTGAAGAGATGCCAGACATATTGGCTGATGAGCTGAACAGGTCTGTCATACCCAAGGCCATGAAGACAGATGTGAGGTTATATTTCTCCTCCATCTTCATGCGGGGGAGGTACACTTTCATCCTTCTCTCTTCCATCATAGTAGAACTGGTCCATTCTGTAAGTTTTTCAAAGCTGATTGTGGACTCGAGCTGCAAGGATACAAGAGAATGATATCCATGGGATGACAACTTTCTTCACAGCAGTGCAGTACCATTCACCATTGGGGGGTTCTTTGTCTTTTAAACTGACTGCTCTTGGCATTGTGCTTTTCCTAGGCATGTAAAGATGAATGGATCTAGGAGACCAAAGTATAGTATGACTCTGCTCTGTCCTATTTTCTCTTTCTTTAATAGACTCACTGCCATTTCTATATCAATCATTAGAACCAGTAAAGACAACGTGAACTTCCAAAGAAGCTCCTCAATGTGCAGGAATGGAGATATAAGGCCTCTGGATCAAGTCACTGCAGTAACAGCTGCTTAGCTGAGAGAATCATTTCTTCTGTGGCCAACATTTAACCTGTTAAGTATTTCTTAAGCAATCCACGCTCAGCACAAACTATTGCAGGACCCACTGAGACAATTGTATGCTTCTAAGCAATAATCATATGTTGTTAGTGTTCAAATCTGTGCTGGTGAATGTTTTATGATAACTTTACTGAGAAGGGCTTTGCAACAGCTAAATTTCATTGTGTTTATGATTTTCTGAACCCAACTGCTAGGATCATACCTGCTCCAGGCCAGAGACTTCATCAGGCAACAGCACAAACATGCTCATCATTCCACTGGCAAACGGAAGCTCCAGGATCTTCATTTTCTCAGAAGTCACCATGGCCACTTTAAATGAACCAACCTGGTACATCATCTGGACGGGTTTGCTCTCTTGCTGCAGAACCAAAAAAGAGAATATAGTTTTAACAAAGATTATTCCTAGATGGCAAATATCTAGTTACGGTTAAAATGACTGATTGCTCTAGTCCAGAATGACTTTTTCAAGGAAAGTTGGTATTTCAAGTTTTGTTGTTTGTTTTTTTTTTCTTAGAAGCGTTATAGTTTTAGAAATAGTGTGAAGAGAGAGACATTAGGGAAAACTCCCTGTGATTAACAAAGAAGAGAAATAGACAGATGAGCAGATATTTTAATGTAGTGTCTGAATAACACGGTGACTACTCTCTTCACAACTTCTAGGTGACATCTTTAAGGTGATGCATGCCCATGTACCTCGGTCATTCTGAAAGGCATGGCTTGAGTGTCTTCATCCTTAAATGCTTTCTCCCACATTCCTTTGAAGTAAATGGCATTAACCAGGACCATTGTAGTCTGGGAATCCACAGAGCTTGGCTGAAGGATATTTTTGATGATTCCTTTAAGAATGAACAGGAAAAGAGAATTGTATAATACATTGACAATCACAATGTTAAATACAGGTTGTAGAATTTGTGGAGAAGAGGGTGTATTGGCAAGGACATAGTTTTGTTTCTGCAACTATAATCTTGTACTTCCAAGGTTGACTTGCTCACTGGTGTTGACAATAGCTGCTTTTCTCTCTGTAAAGAGTCACAATAAGAGCTGTAGGACCCAGAAATTTATGTGTTACAAAATAACTAAATCATGTAAAATTTATGACAAGGAGAAGAACCACTAGAACCTCTTTTATCTGAGGATAGTCCCCCACCCTGAACAGTACCAGTAAACATTACTTGCCTTCAAACCAAAGTTGAAAGGAAATTTTGCATAAAGAATGTAACAGGAGAGGAAAACAAGAATTTTATTCTGTTTTCTTCTGATATTTTGCTCCTATTTGTTTCTGCAGTCCCTCATGCAAGCTTTAAGTAAGCTCCTCATGTAGTCCTCTTCCACCAGTAACTTAATAATGGCCTGATTTTTTCCTTCAAAGTATGACACCACACCAGAAGTTGCATGGTTGTCATGTTTTCCATCTCATTAGAAATTGAATTCATTTAGAATCCACTGTCTTTTATCTGTTTTTTCCAGCAGAAGGGAAATAATGCTTTAAGGAGGTGAGGAAGAGACTAGAAAAAAATGGAGGAACCACATGGAGAAGCATTAGGGCAGAAATCATGATACACCTCCCTTCATACACCTCCCTATCATTCCTTAAGTCTGGTTTTACATTGCCTTTACCTGTTAAGATTTCTCAAGTGCCTTTTGACTGCATGCCCTACTTAACAAGTACACAGCATCTCTGGGAAGCCTGAAGGAAAACATACTGGCTGAGGGAATCAGAATTCTCAGTATAGGATGAAACCAGTTGTCCACTGTGTACAAAGCATGTTTTAATGCTGTCATTTTCATTAGGACTGGAAATATTACATTCCTGTAAATTCCCTGAAGATAGAGAGTCCTTTAATAGAGGGTTGTCTGGATAGTTCCTTATGATGATAGTTTCTTATCTGAGAATTGATCTATTATCCATCAGCAAGAACAAAAGGAGAGGTTTTGTATTTATCTCTCGAGACTTAAGTGCTCTCCTATGCTGTTTCAAATATGTTGGCAGAAGGGAAAATACCTATGCTGACATTCTGCTTGCCCCTTACCATTTGTTTGACTTCAACCCAGGAATTGATGAGCTCTCTGGCTTGATCTGCAGCTGTTTGGAAGCTAATAGATTCCAAGCCTCCTTTATACAGTTCCTTCACACATTGCAAGTATTTCCTGTTAAGGAAGAGTATGCAGTTTTCAGATCACAATTTCAAAACAGTTTGCAAATGTGAAGTTGCAAGACTGAAATTAAACAGACGTGAATAATATACTAGTGTAAAATGCTATTCTATACTATAAATTACTACATATTATGCCTTGTAGTATATTTACTAGAGTAATATGCTGTAGCTGTATTGATTAGCCTTAATAAGCAGTCACAGCAAGAAGACATGATTCTACACCTCATAAACATTCTAATATTTGGCATATACTGCTTCAAGCAACAGTATATGCTCAATTTTTTCAAGTCTTTTCCAGCACTGAGTTGGATCTGAAATGTTGATTCACTTCAGTCGAAGTACGCTTGTTGTCAGTTTTTATTTTGAAAATGTTTTCCTTTAATTTCCAAATGAAATGCTTCTTTCAATTGGAAAACCAGAATATTTGGTCTGAAAGTGTCCTATGGAATATTTAGAGAACCTGAAGTTATTTCCATGTTTGTTTTACAATCTGAAATAATAGGTTGGATGTAACTCTTTCCAACAAAAATTATCTTTACTGATATTACTGATATTTCCTTTACTTTACTTATACCATGACACGGTTGGATAATGACTGTACTTTGCACAAACATTCTTTTGTCTAGCACATGTTCTCTGAAGACTGTAGACGGTTTAGGGCTGTGATATAAAGAAGTCATGAAATACTGCCTTCCATATGCAAGAAAACTTCTTTAGCAGAGCCTAGACTTCTGACAGTGCTTTGCATTACAGAACAGTAGGACTTTGACACAGAGAAGTCTTGGATCAGATTTTAGAGCAACTCACCGGCAGGATTGCGTATGTCTCTTCAGCATAAAGTCTACTGGCGAAGCTGAGTGAAAAATTGTCACTTGGTTTGGTGATTTGGGTGAGTATGTCTCTAAGTGAAGAGTGGACGCTTACAGATGTGCCACACTGAATACAAAAAAAAAGAAAAGGGATGTTATTCTAGTTTTAGTGCTTGTAGGTTTTGAATAGTGTATGACAAGAGTAAAGTAGTTCAGATATTTCTAGCTTACAAAACGAGTTTGTTCCATCTTTCTTGCTGCTAATAACTATACTGGTGTAGTCCTTTTCTAGTATATACACATTTTGTGCTGTTTTTCTTCCATAATTTCCTCATACTTCTCTCTACAGGACTCTTAACTGCCCTCTGCAGTAATCTAGCTCCAGCAGATCATGTAGTCTTTCCATCTTTCCCAACCAGACCCATTTAACCACCATCATCCAACTACCTTGCCTAAGCATGCAAGTATCCACAATTTTGTGTATTTGCCCAGTATTTTGGTCCTGGGTTTTATCTTCTGTTTGTTCTGAATACCGTGTTACCTCCCTTCTTTCTCGATTTGTACAAACAAAGAATTCCCCCAACTGCTGGATGCAGAGCACTAGATGCTCATCAGAAAGGGCTTGGAACTGAGAAATCTACCTACTCTATCTAGAGATTTATCTACTAGACATAGAGAAGGAGATGAAATTTTTTTCTTCACCTGAGCTTCCATACTCTCTCCAATCCAGGGAGTTTTATCGAAGTGAACAACCTGTAATTGAAAATAATAGTAGCTGAAATAACAGGTATAACAAAAAAGGTTATGCAACTGAGATTAACACATGACATTTGAAATATATCTGTTGGGTAACTGGGTGGCTATATAACTAAAAGGGTCAATCTATCTGTACCATCTCTGAATATCTGTTCATAATATTGTCTGCTTTGATGATCTCTTTTTTTTTTTTTCCCACAGTAGACATATGGAAATCAGCTCCATTACATGCTGTTATTAAGAATAAATTTCATCCAGGTAACAATTCAACCTTCCTCTATGAAGGAAGTGAGAGCTGTAGGAAATTCGTGATACATTTTGCAAACTTGAGATGGGTTTTGGCTCATTCTGGAGATTTTATCTAGTTTCCTTGCTCTAAGCAAAGAGCCACTGGAATGCCATGTTCTTTTGGAGAATCCTACTATTAACAATGATAAAATTCAAACTAAAATACAGTTTCAAGATTTCTGGCTGGTGCATTTGTTTAACACTCCGGGAGTTGGAGGTGATGACAGCCTTAGATAACTCTGGTTACGGATTTCTGATCTATGCAAGTTCCAGGGTACATTATCATATAATTAACTGCTATGGCTCCATTGAGCAGGACAAAGGTTTTCATCCTTAACTAGGACTTAATTAGATAAGTCTCACCTTATCTATCTGGGTCCTGGTGTTGTCTCTTGCACCTAGGTAGACCATGGCCCAGAGCTGAAATGATGCTAAAGGGGGAGTAGAAGATGTTCTCATTGACATGCTGGACTCTCAGCTCCCTGAAGACATCAAAACAAAATTCCGTGCTTGCTGCACCGATGGAGCCCATTGTGAAATCCCTGTTGTCTAGAGCAAACAGCAGAAGCACAATGACAATGTAATGATGGAATGCTATACAAACACAGTGCAATGCAAGATTTTCTGTGGTGAGCTACCCCTTTAAAGTACCAGTAGTTTTTAGGCCATTAAATAAAACAACAAATAGTTTTAAAGTCATTCATTGTTAACATGCCTATTGCCATAGGCATCTGTCCTGCATGTTCAAAACTGTATTCATAAATCTATTTCTTTTTGAATTTGCATTCAGTTGCCTTTTTAGCAGTAAATTTTCTCAGAAGTCTTAGTTCCATATACAGATTCTGTTTACCTTTTAAAAGCAGTCAAATAACAATTGTTTGTACATATTTTCATTCAGTGAAAGATAGAATTCCTCTGATCAAAACAAGAAAATATGACCTGTTTGATAGACTTGCAAAGCTGGAACTTCAAAGTGCAAATTTCAGTAGGTTTGGACAGATAAATGTGAAAGCAGAGGCTCGCTGTTTTTATATTCTAAAAATAAATGAGTGCAGAAAAATATCTACTTGTTCCATTGTACCTACTGCCAGTGGACTTTTAAAGGCTTGCATTTCTACTCTTGCTTCAGTAATGGAAGAATAGATAGGGAACATAGTTTGTCTAAGGTCATCTAGTCTAGGAGAGAGACTGATGCACATAATTCGTATTTATGAATATTCAATTCCACCCTATCATGCTTTCAGACATACTTTAAGAAGCAAGCTATACGTATATATCCTCTACTATAACCTTTCTGAGGAGTTAAATTTTGTTAGCGACATTCAGACAGAAGAGGAATGCAGACATGATAAATTAGCAACTATAATACAGCACTGTCAGATTAATATTTGTGTAAAGCAGTAGGATCTTTATATTTGTTTCTGTCTTGAACTACTATAAAGTGCCAGGGTGTACAAGTCATGTATAGCCAGTATGCTTATATAAAGCACAGCTTTTGAGGTCAGCATGAACCTAGTTTTCTTCCTGTAATTTATAGAAATTGTTAAAGTTATTTGTCTTTCAGAATCCAGCCTTTTATATAGGTGCTAATGCTGGAGCCTGAAGTTTGTCTTTGTCATATTAAACCCCACCAAGGTTTTTAGTGACCATGCATGTGAATAAACACACATGTCCACATACTTCTCCCACTTTCATTTCTGTATACAAATTAACATTTATAGATTATTGTAAGAATATAAGTTTATACACCTACACTAAAATGACCCTAAAAATTCACTGAATGCCACAGTGTTGCTCTCTGTGCATTCTGTTGAACTGGAAGTCA